GAATTTCTGCTCGCGCTGTAAAGTGTAAAGTCCCTCTGGCCAACTCTTACTTGTGCTGTGACTTTTATTTCATTGCCTACAGGATGAAGTTGAAACAAAAGTTCAACTGCTGAGCAAGTATTTTGTTGATGGTCCTGGAAAAGACAGTGGAATTACATCAATGTACTTACATTTTGACATTACCAGGTAGGTGTCAGCACAGCCCGTGGTGTGTGTGTGTGTTTGTCTGTCTGTTTGTCTGTCTGTCCGTCTGTCTGTCTGTGTCTGTGTGCATGTATGTGCGTCTGTGTGTGTGTCTGTGTCTGTGTCTGTGTCCCATACAGCACAGTGGTATATGTAGTTCAATCACGAGATCGCGAGTTTTAAGAATGAAATGACACTTTAAAGTGAAGCGTTCCATGTTACAAGTCCCTGTCGACGTGTGGTAGTAGGGTGCACAAATTTGATGGGAATAAAAGATTAACGGAGCGTTACAGCTTTCTTAGACGCACACGTTTTGACGCAGAGGCCAGAAGATTGCTAGTACTTGTACACACAGTGATATTAGTGGCAAAGGTATGTGTCGTGCTGGGTGTGCAGGTATGTGTCGTGCTGGGTGTGCTGGCCCAGCAGTCTATTAGGATTGTGTTTCCACTTCTATTTTCTCCGTCTGATTCCGTCTGTAGGGGTCGCAAAATGACATCACTAAGTGACTATTACAACGTGTTTGGGGACTCGGTATGTTGTTTGACATCTACTCACTGCCTTGTTGCTGTGCTCTATCTGTGCCAGTGCATTTCTTTGTGACTGCACAACGTCAGTATTGTGAAGTGATAGAAGTTACAACAGTGCGGCCCAATGAAGTCTGATTGTGTGAGTCAAAGTTGTGCCCTGCACCATTTAGCAGCCCAGTGTTCGCAGGTCTAGGGCTGTACAGGGCTCAGAGTGGCATTCGATAGCTTGATCGGATTTCGTTGAGCAGCACTGTAGAACGAGAACGTCCCTGTAGATGAAAAGCGTGTACTCCGTCTCCCTCCATGAGTAGTGTCCTATGTAATGCATACCGAGTTTTGGCAGTGCCTCTTTTCCCTGACCATCGAGTCTAAGCTCTCTCTCTCTCTCTCTCTCTCTCTCTCTCTCTCTCTCTCTCTCTCTCTCTCTCTCTCTCTCTCTCTCTCTCTCTCTCTCTCTCTCTCTCTCTCTCTCTCTCTCTCTCTCTCTCTCTCTCTCTCTCTCTCTCTCTCTCTCTCTCTCTCTCTCTCTCTCTCTCTCTCTCTCTCTCTCTCTCTCTCTCTCTCTCTCTCTCTCTCTCTCTCTCTCTCTCTCTCTCTCTCTCTCTCTCTCTCTTCTCTCTCTCTCTCTCTCTCTCTCTCTCTCTCTCTCTCTCTCTCTCTCTCTCTCTCTCTCTCTCTCTCTCTCTCTCTCTCTCTCTCTCTCTCTCTCTCTCTCTCTCTCTCTCTCTCTCTCGCTCTCTTCATTATTATATTCGCACAAGACCAAGCGAATACACACAATTATAATATTAATATAATTGTGTGTATTCGCTTGGTCTTGTGCTTTTGTACTTGTAGCATCTACATGAGAATCGCTTGGCCTGACGTACAGAATATCGGCTGATGCCTTTTTCCAAGGTAATGACATGTATGCTGGCACTTGTTAACTGGCTATCGTCATTGCTGCCCTGTGTATGTACGTGTATGATAACGCAGAGCCACGTTCATTGCATAGCCACTTTCATTGCATAGCCACGTTCATTGCATAGCCACGTTCATTGCATAGCCACGTTCATTGCATAGCCACGTTCATTGCATAGCCACGTTCATTGCATAGCCACGTTCATTGCATAGCCACGTTCATTGCATAGCAACGTTCATTGCATAGCCACATTCATTGCATAGCCACATTCATTGCATAGCCACATTCAGTGCATAGCCACGTTCATTGCATAGCCACATTCATTGCATAGCCACATTCAGTGCATAGCCACGTTCATTGCATTGCCACGTTCATTGCATAGCCACATTCAGTGCAGAGCCACGTTCATTGCAGAGCCACGTTCATTGCATAGCCACATTCATTGCATAGCCACGTTCATAGCATAGCCACGTTCATTGCATAGCCACGTTCATTGCATAGCCACGTTCATTGCATAGCCACATTCATTGCATAGCCACGTTCAGTGCATAGCCACATTCATTGCATAGCCACGTTCATTGCAGAGCCACGTTCAGTGCATAGCCACGTTCATTGCATAGCCACGTTCATTGCATAGCCACGTTCATTGCATAGCCACGTTCATTGCAGAGCCACGTTCATTGCATAGCCACGTTCATTGCATAGCCACGTTCATTGCATAGCCACGTTCATTGCATAGCCACGTTCATTGCATAGCCACGTTCATTGCATAGCCACGTTCATTGCATAGCCACGTTCATTGCATAGCCACGTTCATTGCATTGCCACGTTCATTGCATAGCCACGTTCATTGCATAGCCACATTCATTGCATAGCCACATTCATTGCATAGCAACGTTCATTGCATAGCCACATTCATTGCATAGCCACATTCATTGCATAGCCACATTCAGTGCATAGCCACGTTCATTGCATAGCCACATTCATTGCATAGCCACATTCAGTGCATAGCCACGTTCATTGCATTGCCACGTTCATTGCATAGCCACATTCAGTGCATAGCCACATTCATTGCATAGCCACATTCAGTGCATAGCCACATTTATTGCATAGCCACATTCATTGCAGAGCCACGTTCATTGCAGAGCCACGTTCATTGAATAGCCACGTTCATTGCATAGCCACGTTCATTGCATAGCCACGTTCATTGCATAGCCATATTCAGTGCATAGCCACGTTCACCGCATAGCGATGTGCTCACACTCATAGTGCCAGAGCCATGCAGAGCCACTCAGAGCCACTCAGCAACTGTTTTATCGGAGGTCAGATTTCCCTTTTCACCCCTCACTGCAGGACCATATCAACCTGCATTATACAGGATTGCAGAGTTTTGCCCTCCCTCTGACCAGATCGGTTTATTGGATTATTCTGCTGGAAAGATTCCGATTCTTGCCACATACAGTAATTAGTTTCCACGGCAAGTTGCAATGGGAGTACACAATCCTCTTCTTACACTGTCTGTTTGTACCTCGGTGTGTGTGTCTGACTGTGTGTCTGTGACCGTGTGTGTCTGTGTGTGTATCTATGTGTGTCTGTCTGTGTCTGTCTGTGTCTGTCTGTGTGTGTGTCTGTGTGTTTGTGTGTGTGTGTGTCTGGCTGTGTGTATGTGTGTGTGTGTGCATGTGCATGTGTGTGTTTGTGTCTATTTGTGTGTCTGCAAAGTAAACACCCTTGCCACTGAACGTCTGTACACATTAACCTGTGACTGGTGCGATGTCAACGAGGACTCTATTGTCTTGGGTAAGCTGCTATGGACCTTACCTGACCATGCACTGAAATTTCACACTTTCCCCACTGCACTGAACAAGTCCACAATGACCTTGTAATCGATTTCACAGACACTGCTGTTACCATATGCTATCATAGGATCTCATGTGTATTTGCTCCCGTGCACATGGTATTGTGCTCTTGATGTCTGTCCACCTGGTCCACTGGGCAAGCTCCACAGCTGAAGCTCATAATAAAGACACAATATAATAATATTATATCCCGCAGAAGTCTCCCCTATCCTGGATATGTTCAAGTCTACCATCCTGGCTATGTGTATGAGCTTTTTCTAGACCTCTGCGGTCTGCAGAGCTTTTCAACAGGGGGGGGGGGGGGGGTAGTGTGTTTGTTGTCTATGTTCACGCTGACGTGTGGATGCATTTATTGCCATCTTGTGCTGCACGTGTGGACCCGGTGCACCTCGTGTGTGTGCATGCGTGTGTGTGCATGCGTGTGTGCATGTGTGTGTCTGTCTGTGTGTGTGTATGTGTGTATGTGTGTGTGTGCGTGTGAGTAGGTGTGTGTACATGATGTTTTTGTGCATGCTGGCAGGCATCACCAATGCTGAGTTTATCTGTGGCAAAGCAGAATTTTGTCGTCGCTGTTGATCCACCAGACCACCACGAGCTAGCTTGCGTAAGTGTTTCATTTGAAAGTGTCACATTTCAATTGCATTGTACTCTTTAACTTCATCTACGGAGACTCCTTCGATTTAGGCTATAAAGGACTGTGGAGAATCCGTGAATACAAATACAATTTATAAGTGTGAACACGAGCAGTATCGTAGATAGATTACTGCACTCTTGGTATGGTAGGAAGACTGCAGTATTGAAGTTCAACTGACGGAATGACAGTTTGCACTGCAAGCAAGTGCAGGACAAACAATCAAAAAGCAACTGTTGCACGCTAGTCACTACAGGCACGGGGCACTTGTTGACTCGTCGCAAATTGCACTCAATAGACACCCTTAGCAAAAAACGTTATGTTGTAACGGTATTACCGTAAGGGGGAAAATACCGTGATTTGGGTTCGACCTTTAGCAAGATGCACTCTATTTTGTTTAGTACGCTGTTACCACGAGAATAGCTTTTATTTCGTGCAGTACAACCATTTTTGTCACCCTATACGCGGTACAAGGTGAAATGCGTACGGACTATGCAATATTTGGCCAAAACACGTACCGTAGGTCACAACGATAAATCAGCCCCCATAACGTTTTTACGCTGCAGCTTCGACGCTATTTGGATGATCAAGGTACGAGTACGGTAAAAAACTAGCGTTACCGTTGTTTGCTAAGGCAGTAAGTGTGTGTAATACTAGTGATACACAGTAACA